GGGCTCAGTATGTATTAGTATGTGGCCTATATGTTTTCTGAATATGAAAAGATGTTTGCAAATGTACATAAATGAGAGTACAAAAATAGTAATAGGGATGTAACAGTAATTGTGCTACTGTAATATTCCAGTTTCAAAAAGTCTATTATATACTGTAAAACCAGAGGGAACTACATGGGCCATAATCCTTCGCTCCATTTCAATGAAACAAACAACTTTTTACATGTGAATCCTGTCGACCTTATTCCACCTTGCCTATTTTTACTGCTACAGACTGGCTGACTTCTAAGTCTTACTGACCTACATTTCAGTTGTTTTGTCTCTTCCTGTTAAGAGGGAATCCTGCTCTTTTAAATGGAGAACTAGAGCAATGTCTCACCATTAAAAAATATTTAGTAGATGTGAAATGCACCTTTTCTCTTGGTGAAAATTGCTTTGTACACATAGACTGTATAAAGAAGTGGACTAAGGGAGTGTGAGTGCGTTCAGCTCCAGCCAAATGAAGCTCACAGAGGCTAGCGGTTATAAGGGCGAATTTAGAGCTGAGTTCATACAAGGAATAGGAATTTATTTACGGAAAAAGCAGCTAAATAACACCTGATCATTTTAACCCTCTCAGGCTCAAATTTATTTTTAGTATCAGGAAAAATCTGATATTTGGGGAAAATTATAATATGGGGTAGTAATATACAATTCTGACTTTTTTATCCTTTGTAAACAAAAAAAGTATTTTGCACTTCTGGCAGGCCATTTGCGTGTAGCCATTCTTACACAGTCTGCATTGCCCACGTTTATCAGCATGGATGGGAAAAAAGGCTCCTGAGTTATAAAAAGCTCATATAATATGGATGTGGAGTAAGTAGGTACTTGGAATTTAGCTGTTGCAAATCTGCAACGCCTGCCTGGAGAGGGTTAAGACCGAAATGAGGAGCCTGATAGCAGAAGTTACAGAGAAAGGGGAAGAGAAAGGGACGACAATATTATTTAGTTGTATCAATAGTTATTTGCTATCTAATACACATAATTAGTAGAGCATTATAATATAGTGCAACAAGGCAGTTCATTATTCCTACCTGTAAACATATTATAGCATTTTTGTAGAATTTGTCCACTGTCTTTGCTTACAGCACATTTTCTTCTGCTCTCTCATTATTTACCTGTCAGCCCCAGCCCACGGTGCAGCTCCGGACAGCTCCCATATGTTTTACACTGTGGTGCTGTGCTCTGGTGAAGCTCTATTACACTGTGTATGCAAACACAAGTATATTTACGCTGGATAATTGGCTGTGTACTCACCTCTATAGGGAGCACAGCTGGTCCAGAGCCTGGTTAGTTTAGTGTAGATGATGTTAAAGCGCCTTCACTTTCTAATTACAGTAACAGCAGTGATTCAGGTGGGCTCCTCGGACACATGCTGGGAGTTTAAAGACATTTGCATTTTCGGGGCAGCCACCAAGACATAATCTAGATATGGTTTAATTAAGAACTGGAAGAAAGGCTTGTTAGCGAAAATTAAGACAAAGCTTAATTAGAGAGGCAGTAGTTAATAATGGAGTTTGGCAGTAATATAAAAACCATAGGTTCAGTCCCAAGTTGTACTGTGTCAGTTGACTGTGATTGGAAAGATTACAGTTTGTCATTTAAGGGTCTATATTACGCTGTTTTATTATCTATGTTGTAATGTTATTTCCTCACCACAAACATAACCGGAGTTGTGTTTTGATCCATTCACACACAAACCCTACATACAGTATTTAGACTGTGTTCTTCTCTCAAACGGAAAACACTCTATTCCACCTTGTGATGTGGCAATACAGGAAGAGCTCCACTGTGGTTTTAAACTCCATACACCTTCACTAGAATCATCTGGATTATTTCAGTCCTTGAATTTCTAATCTTTACTAAATTAAATGTAAAAGGTATCTGTTAACTTGAAAACTACTGCTTGGAACAGAGTATTTTGAGCTTTGGAGATGGAGACAGACTCATAACAAATGGCTACTAAAAAACAACTCCAGGTATGTTTTTGATGAGGTAACAATATTCTAACATGACATAAAGCTCACAAGGGGCAATTCTGGGTAATATAGGATCTTTAAAAATAGGGGTGGGCGATATCTCGATATTTTAAATATACTGAGATATTTTTTAAACACGATATGGATTCTGACATATCGTATATATCAATATAATGCTTATATTCAATTCTGATTTGACCGCTTCGCTTGTTTGCCTTCTCTGTGTACACGCCCCTGACTCCATGATTTTGCTCGCTTGTGTCTCATTCACTCCTCACTACCGCCGTGAATGCCAAAAGTTGGTACAGTGAAAAGCTTCGAGTACCACAAACCTTTTCCACACAGCACATCCTCTGTCACAGAGAGAACACTCATATTCCACTGAGTCGTGTCCTTTAGTCCAAAAGAAACTGAACCGCATCAGCAGCACAAGGAGCACGGCTGTTCATGCAAATGAGCCATGCGCTTTTAAGTTTTGTTTCTGTAAAATGTAAACACGTGTGCGCAAAGCTGCGTTGGACACATTGTAATGTCAAATGGGCTGATGTGTCTCTAGAGTCGTTATGCTTTTTATGTTGTAAAGTTTAGTAATGTAATGTTTATTTATGCAGAAGATTTTAATTAATAATCTGCTGCAGTGTAACTTGTACAATAGTGTTTGGAAATGTTTGGTTTGATCTGCACAGTGGCTTGTGGGATACCTCACAGCTCCTTAATGCTGGATAGGAACAAGGATCTATTAAAATAATGAACCTTCCGTGCTTCCTCTGCTAAAGGAGCTCATGGTTATTGTACAGTTAACAGAGTTATTGCAAAGATGAGCTTGAGTTGAGTTGTTTTATTTATGAATGAAAAGAAGGCAACATGTATTATTTCTTTTATTTTACAGTAAAATTATTTTAACTGTAATATTTAAATTATTATTTATATAATTAGGGATTTTTCGTAATCTTAAATGTGGCAGAAGCACTTTGTTCCTATATGAACTGCCAACCTCTACTTCAGTTTAAGAAGACATGGTTGAATTTGGCATATTTGTTTTTCCAGAAGTTTTGGGGGGTTATGTTCCCTGTACAGATATCGAGATATATATCGTATATCGAGATATAGCAAAATGTATTGAGATATATTTTTTGCTTCACATTGCCCAGCCCTATTTAAAAGTATTATGTATTATTTATGTCACATTTAGGGCTAGGTACCTTTCAATTTCTTTTCATTTCAATTAAATTTATACTAATACAATAATACCTACTTTTGATACTAGTGAAATGTGATACCTTTTCCAGTACTTTTCCCTATATTAATCATTATTAAGAATAACAAAAAAATAAATAAATAAATAAAAAATGCTTCCAGTTTTTGCTTCTACTTTTACCAGTTCTGCTTTTTCCTTTAAACGATACCCAGCCTAGTCCCATTTTGTCCTTTAGTGCAGTGTAAAACTGTAAAATATTTTGCATACTTAAATTTGTGCATACAAATTTAATAGTTGCTGTTTCACCTCAACACAAATTGTTATTCAAGACATGTGTAACTTTACAAAGATGATTTTAAAAATATATGGATGTGTCTAGGGAGAGGCAAGTTCTTATAGCTATTGTATCACGCCATATTTGCTGTTCTTAAAAAAAACTTCTGTTTTTCTTTTCCCATTCATATTCAAACATTTTACTGCCAAACTTTTCGACTTTCCTGCACCCATCACGTTCTTCACCAACTGAAAAAGCCTGAGAATCTCAAGTTTCAACAAACATAGCGAGGTCGTAGCCTGCATGCTCGCACTGCTTTGAATGTGACCCCTGTCTGGACCAATATGCACCGCTCAGCTAAAGACGCCCTCTACACGCTCCACCAACCACACTGGGCCAACTGCTGTGTCAAGATAGATGAGGCATTTTCTCTTTTTTTACTGTGTTGAAATAATGGAATAAAATAAGAAATTGAGAGATTTTTTTGAGGAATGACTTTGTAGTAATTTCTCCTTGAATGTCTGCTGCTTCTTGGTGTGTGCAGTGGAGAATACGCTGTTTGACAAATGAGCCCTGACACAAACCCTAACACAGGATCTGGACTATATCTGTCCTCTCTCAGCTAATGTCTCACGCTAACAGCCTCTTACAGGGCCTATACAATGTAATGGCTTGAAAGGAAACAAGGGTACAATGGTTTCCTGTGTTTAGACTGCTCTTTTAATGTGCTATTATGTGTGGTATTCTTTGGCATTTTACTTTGACCTACTTTACAGGGAAATTATGTTTTTTTGCTACATTTACTGCATGTATTTAGTTTGAAATAATTATCTTATCATTAATACACTTTCTGAACATCAAATAAATTATTGAATTGTTAAAAATATTGAAGAATAATCAGTAATAATAATCAGATAATTTTGTGAGTAGTGCTGCAATTTGGAGATGCTCTGATTCAGTGTTTATAGGCATCACAACCTATAGTCTTTGTTAAAGGTGCACTGTGTAACTTTGCTGGTGGAGGGTTCATTACTTGCTGCTCAGTGCTTGTCTCCATGGAAATGCTATTGCTTTGCCTGGAATATGCCACAGTATGGTGTTAGTTATGTCTATTTCCATAAAAACAAGCCTGTAATGCTAGCAAGCTAAGTTACAGGCCAGATGGACAGGTGGCCATGCTTGCAGTAAGAATGCATGTTTTTCAAGTTATTTATAAGCAATAAAACAACCTTAATTGAATGAATGCACAGATGCAAGAATATTCCAGAGAAAGCAGTAACACTATCACAAAGACTAGATGCTGGCGGACCCACCCCATGAAAGTCACACAGTGCACCTTGAAATTTATTTTGTACACATTTTCTTAGTTTCTCAAAATGCTGCTTTCATTTTATTTTATGTATTGAATTCTCCCAGCTTACCAGTCGAGTTTATGTAATTTATTATTTACCACAACAATTCTAACAGTAACAGGTTGTGTAATTAACCGATATTGTCCTCTGTGTTCCAGGGGTGTTGGCTGCATTTTCATTGAAATGATCCAGGGAGTGGCTGCCTTTCCTGGGATGAAGGACATCCAGGACCAGCTGGAGAGGATATTCCTGGTGAGTCCTGACGGGGCGATCTGCTAGCTTTTACCTGACAAACACCTGTCTCATCTGGCACAGCTTTTTTATGGCATAGTAGAGAAAGTAATATTCCTTGGACAAAGATGTTTTGGGTTGTTGCAAGCTTTATGGGCGCCTTATACAAGAGTGGGGTGAATACTAAAATAGATGAAAAAACACTGGGAAACAAAGACAGATAGTGGACATTTTAAAGTCACTGCAATTATTAATGCGTGTGTGCATCAGTTGCTGTTGTTGTGAGTCTGTTGTATGTGTATGCGGATGTTACATGGTAAGTTAGCTAGTTTTTGCTTTATGGGGATTAAAAAAACAGCTGAGCAACATGAGAAAGCTTCTCCATTGAATACAAACTGAATGTATTTGCTAGGCCATTAGGCTAGGCTGAAATGTGATATACTGTTGAAGTAAATACAGACGATAATAAAACTATGAAGTGCAATTTGTGTCAATAATGAATCATAGAATTTCAAATTTCAAATCTCATTGTAGCACAGAAGAATAACCAAATATTTCCTAGCCCAAAGAAAAGTACCCACAATAAATATTGACCCCAAAAATTATTGTTTCTGTTATGTATTGAACGATAACTTGATATAGTATTTATCGTGACAGGACAAGGATGTGCTATTCTTCCGGCTCTTGTCACACTTCTGTACAGTTGGTATTCTCACCACCACAGCAGGTCCTATAGCACATATGTTGCTGTGATCTGAACATGCCCTCACTCTCCTTGCACCTCTGTAGCCGCTCTCTCACATCAGACTGCTCCCATAAACCCATCCAAAACAAAGCACTCAGGCCAGGCTCAAACTGAATCTGCAGCATAAATGCACTGGTCTGCCCCGAGGGACTTGTGAGCTTTGTAATCTACAAGAAGCTCTCCTCAAAACCATTTTAGCCAGAAAAATGCTTTTGTCTGTGAAATGACAGGAGTACAATGCAGTCTCCATTAGGTGATTACATAAACTTATGGGTCCGTGCTTTGGCTAGAAGAGAGGCATAAATATTTTAAGCTAATGTAAGGCTCGCACATCCCTTAATCTGAAAATCTGCCATCTTTCTGTCGAATTTCCTCCACAATCTCTTAATTGAAGCGCCAAGAATCATGGGAAGTCATAATGGATTTAGATTCATATGCTGAGGGGCTGAATAATTAATGTTGAAAATTACAGAGAAGAGGATGGGTCAGGCAGGATGTCAAACACAAGACAAAGAAATAGGCTGTTCTTGGCTCTGGGCCCTAAAGGCTTAAAGATATACATCTGAGAAAGGAGGGATTTTCGAAGAAGAAGAGAGAAAAGGTAGGATGAAGCCCGCAGGTAGGAGCTTCTCTCTCTTGAGCGTGAAAAAAAAAACAGATGAAGAGCCGGAGATGGAGGAAAACGCTTTTTATTGATTGTCTTTTTGGCCCGGAGGTAAATTTCCAGTGTGAAAAGCAGACACAAAGACCACATGGTTGGAGTGAAGAAGAGGAGGAGGAGGGAGAGAGAAAGAGAGAAGGAAGAAGGGGGTCCGATGTGGGGATAGCTGCTGGCAGGACACACAGAATCCCCCCTCCCTTCAACCCCCCACGAAGCGCCCCATTTCGTCCCCTTGTAGACCAAAAAGGACAGAGACATGGGCTGAATACCTGAATGAGGGCTTTACCTGCCTGGACTCTGTATCAGCTCAGCTCTTTTCAGCGGGCGCCAGATAAAATATAAGGGGCTCAGGGGCAAAGTGAGATGAATAGGGATCTGTCAAACACAAAGATTGCTCCACCATTTTGGTAAGAAGGGAAGAAAAAATAAGAATGGACAATAAATAAAGCCATAAATCCACAATAGAAGTGACATTGTGAAACGCTACTGTTGTGACTGTTGCAAAAAAAAAAAACAAAAAAAAACTAAATTTTATTCATGCAACACAAGATATTCAAAACTTTCTATTTGAAACAACTCCTTTGACAGTTACAATTCAATTTAATCTGATATAAACAATTGAGAGAGGTGGAAAGGATTTATTTAATAACCTGAATCTTGTATTCAACAATAGGGTTTGGTAGATGTAATTTGCCCTGGAGCACACATAGTATTGATTAAATGGGGAAGAATAAGAATGTTTGGAGGTGATTATTGCAAGGTATTTGGTAACACTTTATAACAACTACTAAATACTTAAAGGCCCATATTTTCTCATCTATGTTATAATGTTCTTTCCTTATCACTAACAGACCTGGAGTTGTGTTTTGTTCCATTCACACATGTTTAACACAAAAATACTGCATATTTAGGCTGAGTTTTTCTCTAAAACAGAAAACACTCTGTTCCACCTTGTGATGTCTTGTGGTAATACAGGAAGTGCTCCGTTGTGTTTATAAACTCCATGCACCTTCATTAGAATCATTTGGATCATTTCAGCCCTGGAATTGTCTACTGAACTTAAGTTAAAAGGAGTTGTTAAAAGGAGAATTTGGAATTTTGGACATAGGACCTCATTTCCTAGTGAGCCAGAGTGTCGGAGACACTCGCTGTTGCTAGGCTAGTGCATGTCAATGGCCACAGTTATCCTGCCACTAAAAACAGTCTTACCCACTCCACAAAGCACCCGAAGCAAATCTGTTATTACACCAGACTATCCTTGCATCGCATGAATCGTCGCATGTTGAGGGACTATTTTCTCAGCAGCAGTGAGATTTTACTTTGCCAGTAATATAGGTGCTAGGTGATATCAATTCACCGCTGCCAATCTTTCTATCAGGAAGTACAACTCGCTGTTGCTGTTCAGACATAAATCCTTCAAATGCATGGTTGGTTTTACTTCCAAAATTATTCTATCAACACAGACATTCACATCGACAATGTGGCATAAACATAGATTTGCTTCGGGTGCTTTGTGGAGTGGGTAAGACTGTTTTTTAGTAGCATTAGCACTAGCCTAGCACCAACAACCTCTGGAAATACAAGGACTAAATGGAATATTTTAAAAAGTGTCTCCACACATCTCTCACACACTTCCTAACTAGGAAATGAAGTCCTATGTCCAAAATTCCAGACTGTTCCTTTACTTGAAAACTACAGCTTCATGACATCACAAGGTGGAACAGAGAATAATGAACTCTAGGTATGTTTTTGAGGAGGTAAAAACATTCTAACATTACTTAATACTCACACGAGTCAGTTGTGCATAATATAGAACCTTTAATTAATATTCTAAACTCCTTACCCCTTCCCTTTTATTTACTAAGCTGGTATCATTCGTAAACACATTTTTAGTATATGATTTATTAAGACTTATTAAGGTGTAGTCATTATAAAATGGTGTCATATATTATAACAGGATCTACTGTATCACTCAGTTCAAAAAGTTTACTTGCATAACACCTTACTCTGCAAAAAACTGAACACCTCGTATCATTTCATATTCAGAGTCTTGCAGGAATAAACTCTGACAGATCCTTAGAGTGAGCGCTGTTTTCTGCAAACACCTTTTCTTTTATTCAAATGCACCTTTTGTTTATCTCATCTGAAACATTCATTGCACTGACAGATGGCCCAGACCTTTGCTGTTCTCCGTTCCTCAGCCCTCGACCCCACTCTCTCTCTTTCTGTCTCTTTCTCTCTTTCTCTCTCTCTCTCTCACCGGATCACGTTCACCTGTCAGCCCGAGGTACAAACCCTGTTGAATATGGAAATGCTCCGCTCTGAGAAGTAGCGCGTGATCTGAGAATTAGCCTACCTGTCACAGTTAGCCTGATGCTGACATTTCCATCCATCCCAGCTGCTCTGCCTAGCCCTGCCCGTATGCCACGCTATCTGCCAGGCTCTGCTCACAAATGCTGGGGCTCTGTGCGTCTGTGTGTCTGTGTGTCTGTGTGGGGCATCATCAGTGAATTATGTGCAGTCAGGAGCTTCCTAAAGGTCTCGGAGCTTGAAGCAAAGGTCAGTCTCCATCAGCATTTGAGAGGCCTCCTGCCAAGTCCTGAGCGGGCACATCCAACGCAGCGTAATGCCAGGGAGTGACCCGCACTTTAATACTGCCAGCTGTCAGGTTTGAGTCTTGAGGATTGGAATGAAGTGACAATTATAAAAAGTCAGGGGAAAGAAACTGTGTGAATGGGGTGGTTTAGGGCAATGGAAAAGTATGCCAGGCGGTAAAGTTAACGCAATATTTTGTGATAGGAGGTGCTCTTTTTTGCCCCCATGGGGAAATGTGTCCTCTGCATTTGACCCATCCCATCCACACCACTGGGGGATTTCATCAGCAGCCGTGGGTGTCCAGGGACCCATCTCTGTGATGTTGTTGCTAGGCTTGGTCAGGACTGTCTGAGCTGAAGGATTTGACCAATGGTGCATGTTTTGGGTTGATGAGGGAAACTGGAGTGTGTTGAACCTTCTTGCTGTTAAGGTATGAGTGACTTCTAGTAACTAGTACTTTTTTGCTATAGTCTTCTACAACATTTTACCATTAGATGTTATATTTCATACTCCACAGTGCTGGGTTTAAAAATATATAGTACATTTTGACTCTGCATTCTGGGAGAGCATTTTCATTTTGCCCTGTCACTTGGGAGAGTTCTCAGATGCATTTAAACTACTTCATAGAGCTGCACCATCCATCAAAATGAAATCAAAATCACAATTTAAGTATGGCACAACCATTACATTGTAAAAGCTGCAATTATTTAGATAACAGAATGTCCTCTACTAAGAACAAAATATCCTCTCTTTTATCGAACAGACTTTTGTTGTGCCTGTGTTTAGGCTTCTACAATCTTCTGAAATTAATGGTTTACTTGTATTTATTCAGTTCACATTTCAGCGTGGAGTTGTTTACAATAATGTGCACTGCTACGTGAACAAATTCCTACTTTTTAAATACCGCAAATCTAATCACAGTACTTGTCAGAACAATAGCTATTTGATTCGAATCAGATTAGATACTTTTCTGGTGGAAGGCCCATCAAATACTATTCTCCATGGAGATATTATTGCTTT